CGTACGCCAGCGCGCAGTGAAGAAAAGACCTGTCAGGCCACGTCAAACGGGGGCCCGTGATAGTTCGCCGGCTATTCAGCGAGAAGCAGATGATCCCGCTCTCTATTCTTTTCTTCCCTTAAATCTCCTTAATAAGCCAAGACCGGTCACAAATTATGCCCATGGCCCGGGTCAGAGTTCGCTGTAATATCTGTAAAGGATCGACTGGGGAACGCCGTGACCTCACACGTACCAAGTCTTTCAATCAGCCCTTTAACGGTCGTTTTTCCTGATTAAGCTCCTGTGGTTTTTATCCTTTAAGGTCATTTCTGTTTTATTTTCTCTTGTTTTTTACCTCCATTACTTAATATCCTGCTTGTGTTACACCAGACGACGGCCCTCATTTATCTCTAAACTAAACTATCTACGTAGAATCAGAAGGTGTCAGAAGCTTGTGTGGTAATACAAAGAGTGCCTTTACTATACTTATTTTGTGCAGCTGGATATGACAAACAGCTGTACTGGGCACACGTGATAAAAACACATTGGGGAGTTCGGTGTACTTCAACCTTTTCTCTATGAGAGCGATAGGCATTAGGGGAATGACAGCAGACACTGTGCGGGGGGGGGGGGGGGGGGTTAGGGGAGGTGTGTGTGGTTGACATAAACCCACTGGCAAATTGTATTGGTTGTATTTTTGGCAGCTCAGAACTTAAATCTATACTGCCAGCTTTTCATCTCTCTCCCTCTATCTTCTACCACTTTTTGTCTTCAATCGCTCTTCAAAGAGAACCCTAGAGCCTTTTTACCGAAAGCACCGCACCTGTGAGCGCGAGCGTGTTCTTAGGAACATATGTACGTTCGTACATGTTCCTATCTGTGTCTCTGCCTGTGCATCCAGTGCAACGGCCGTGACCTTTTCACCTGAAATCCCCTGAGGTTGAAACCGGGTCAAAGACGCACACCCCACGCGCACCCCCCCCCCCCCCCTCCTTCCAGCAATGAAGGAGTGCAAGACAGGGAGGGGAAAAGCAGCAGGAGGAGGAGAAAATAGACATCAGCCTCTCTGGGCTGAGAACAAATGGAGCCCCGAGAGGGACGTGAAGAGGAGGAACGAGGGAGCGAGGGGGGAAGGAGAGGTGAAGCACACAAAGCTATGGGGCACGGCGGTTGGACAGACAGCATCTGCTCTCATCTCTCTGCGGTTCTGGTAATGGATGGAGAGTTGCAGAGACGCGAGCGAGCGGGGAAGGAGGGAGGAGGAGAAGCGGAGGAGAAGCTGGAATGCAGCCCGGTGACGGAGCGGCAGTGAAACTTTTAAAAAAGTTCTTCCCTTTCGTTACTTTTCGGCGAAGACAAACAAACAACAAGCACTGCGGCTGAGTGTGCGTCTGTGTGTGGGGGGGGGGGGGGGGCGTTATCAAATTCAAATAGAAGGATGACAGACGGATGGACACACAAAAGAGGAAGGGGGACAAAAGGAGTGAGACATCTTTCCAATGGGAGAAAGAGCAGCTGATAAGAGTGGACACGCGATACCCGCATGTGTGTGTGGACGAAGGCCTCTCACCAATTTTTGCTGGTATCTCCCACTCACATAGAGATCAGATGGACTTCCTCTTTTAAAGGCCGAGGTGTGTGTGTGTGTGTGTGTGTGTGTGTCCTCTGTGGGAGGAGTGGTCACTGACAGAGGAAGCTTGGCCTCGTCTGTCTTATGGAAATCTGAGAGTTTCCCAGAGCCATCATAAAACTGCCTCTCTATTAAACCCCACCTCTCTCCCTCCCTCTCCCTCTCTCCCTCTCTCTCCCATTACCAGGTCACACACATTCCTGTCTTATGAAAGATGATGTGTGTTGTCATTGGGGGTTCAAAGACGGGCAGAGGGGGCCGGGGAGTATAAAGAAAAGGACACTAAGCGAGATTTTTCACTTGAGTCCTCACATGAAAGCGCTCCCCGCTCAAAGTCAAGGCTTTGGGAGGCCGGGTTTGTTTTCGGAAGACTTTGATGCCGATGGACGGAGCGAAAGAGAAGCGGAGAAGAAAGAGTAGAAGAGAGAGAAAGAGGGGGGGGTTGGCGAGAAAAGAGGAAAGTAGAGCCGGGGTCTAGGTAATTAACGGCAAGCTCTTTAATTACTGCTGGTGTTCATTATGCCAGAAGGAATGTGACAATTATGCCATTAAAACTTCCTAATGGGGGGAAAAAAGCGAGGGAGAGGTGGGGGGGGGGGGGTTGTAGCGGAAGACATGCAAAAGAGGATGAAAGAATGAAAGGAGAGAGGCAACAGAAGGAAGAGAGAAACGACGAGAGGGAGCGAGGGAGGAGGGATATGAAAGGAAAAGGGGAAACAATCGCGACAAAAGAGGAGCTTGGAGGGAGATGGGGAGCGTATTAGGCCGGCACAGTGACAGAGCAGATTAGCATCAAACAAGAAAGGCCACAGACGTGTGTGTGTGTGTGTGTGTGTGTGTGTGTGTGTGTGTGTGTGTGTGCGTGTGATCACTGAAACAGAGGACATATTCATTCCAAAGACGCCACCAAGGTGGATGGAACTTTGATGATGCAGAATCTGGCAAAGGGAAAACTGTGTGTGTGTGTGTGTGTGTGTGTGTGTGTGTGTGTGCTTGCTGAATCTGCGTAGGCTCCTGTTTCAAGTGGTGGTGCGGGCAGGTAGGGGAGGAAGTGGAGGAGGTGGTGGAGGAGGAGGAGGAGGAGGTGGAGGAGAAAGGGGTGAGATCCACAGAAAAAGGCCTTTGGGGCATCTTGATACACACATCCAGTACATTTCCATCTCCACATTACCTCTATGACTCACGCGCACACTCACACTCACACACACACACACACGTACATAAGACATAACAAATGTGTCCGCGCACATATGTAACACACACAAACACACCACTCCCGCACCGGCATCAAACAGCAAAAGAACACAAAACCCACGCACCTGCATTCACAAACACACGAGATCACACACCAATAACACCCCCCCCCCCACCACCACACACACACCAAAAAGCCACACACAAACACTTAGCACGCAGAGTCTTCGTGCTCACCAAGGCGGTTGGGTTGTCGGGGGGAGAGGGGGCAGAGGGGGGGGGTTAGAATTTGCATGGCTGGGCAAATTTTCCTTGTACTAAACTCTAATCAGCTCCTGTATCTCTCAGACACCTGCCCAGCGAAAAAAAAAACCTTAATATGCAAAACACCTTCGCTCCCTCGTCCGCCGCCGCAGCTCCTCGGTCCAACAGAAGACTTATTCACCTGCCTCCCTCACCCTTGTCCTCGCTGTCTGTCTTCTTGCAAATTTTCACATTTATGTATGCAAATAGGCTGTTCCCCTTAAGCCGGTTTCAACAGTAGCTTCCTGGTGCCAGGAGGGAAGAATGAGGGTTTTGTCTGAGATGTGGCGGGATGATTTATGCATCGGAAAAGAAGTTTGTCGGCGGGGGGGGGGGGGAAACGACAGGCCTGTCACCTGCGTTTTCCTGAGGTTTTTGTTCTCTTCCCGGTTCCTTGCTTCATCGCTGTAGGTGAAGAGTCGCCCTCCTCTTGGTTCAAACCCACGTCCCCGCTCGCTAATCGAAAGCTACGTGGTGAGCGGTGTTAGCGGAGGAGCAGTGTCATTTTTCTTGCTGCTACGCTCTGATGGGACCTCATATATACAAGTGCCTCTGACTGCCAGAGTCTTTCAAAGCCTCCCTTAAGAGGGCCGAAGATGGATGTGGGGAAGTGTGTGTGTGTGTGTGTGTGTGTGTGTGTGTTCGGGTGCACACAGAGGAGCCCCAGTGGACAAATAACGGACAGAGAGACAGAGATGGACGTAAACAGAGTGAAAGAGAGTGAAGCACTTTAAATGTGAGCGCTGCAAAACTCCCACTGCTCGCAAGGGCACTTCTCCCCCGCACGTCATCTCTCCCCCAACACCCCCCTTCTCTCCTTCTACCCTTCTTTCTCCCCTTCCCATTTCCCTTTCTCCCTCCCCACCTCCCTTCACCGCTTTGTCTCCGAGCTCGCGCCCTCCATCCCCTATCTATCCATCTCCCGCTTCCCCCTCTCCCCCTCTTTCTCTCCCCTTCCTCTCACTAAAACAGTAGGACGCTTAACCTTGATAACAGTGAGATTTTTTCCCCCCTCAAAGTGACACACTCACACACACACACACACACACACACCGGAGAAGTGCTTTGCCAGCATGCCAGGCCGGTCCAAGGGACGGCTCTACCCTTCGAGGTGAACAGGACACTTGGAAATGCAGCAACAACAAAACACACACACACACACACATAGACTCGACCCCTCTAACAAACACACACACACACACACACACACACACACACACACACACGCTCACACAGGAAAACCCAGATCACTCCGGGTCCTTCTTAACACAAGCCTTTGAAAGGTCTATTGTCAGCTGACATTGAGAGCGCACTGGCTTTCCTGAAACACACACACACACACACACATTTTTACACATGCACGCACACAGCGGCAAAAGGAGAAGTGTGAAAAATGAAACAAATTAAAGGTGAAGTTGCCTGAAGAGAATTTATGGTTACGATACACTGGAAGACAAACACATAAACATCTCCCCACAGATAGGAAAATGAGGACAGGGAAGTGAAATGCAATTTCTCACAAAACACACACACACATACACACACACACACACAAACAGAAGTTGAGGCGCCAGTAAGGTTGTTTCCTCATTGGATGAGAGTCCCTTGTATCTTGAAAACGCTAAAAACCTGTGAAGTCCTTATATTATCGCCGCACAGTCAAAACCACGTGTCTCCAAAACTAAATTGAAACATTTGCCTAAAAAGCTGAAAAAAGGAGGCGTTTTCTAACAGGACGGCAACGGCAAGAGACGCGCGCCAGAGGCTTGAGGCCGCGCCAGAGAGGACGCGGGGTCGCGGCGTCACTCTATAACCCGTCTGCATCCCGAGGTATCTGCTCTCACAAACAACGGCCCCCTCCCCCGGAAAAGTGCGGAAAGTGTCGGCGTTTTACCTCGAAGTCATTGGCCTTGTTGTAGTGCATGTTGAGGGCTCGGAAGAGCTCGCTGTCGCGGCTGACGCCCAGCTCCTCGACCCCGGTGACGCCATCGTTGATGGACTGGCGGGCGAACTTCTCCATCTGGATGTAGTAGAACTCCCTGAAGTTGCTGAACCACTTGATCAGCTGGGAGGTGATGCAACGATTGAACTGCAAACGAGAGACGAGGAGGAGTCAGCGCTGCTCATTTGCTAATACAAAAAAGAGGACACATGAGTGGGGTCGGTCGGCATAAATAGTCTTCATATTGAGCCGCTGGATGTTGTCGGGAGGAGAAGGTGAGGATCACAGCACGTCGTCTCACATCGGGGAGGTGAAAGCGTAAAAGGCCGAGAGAAAGATGAAAGAGCGAGAACCAGGGCGAGGACAGACGGGAGATAATAGAGACATTAAGTAAGACAGCGAGCAGGAGGGGGTGGGAGAGTGTGTGTGGTTCATCTTCTCCGCTGGGAGCAGACCTCCCCCCTATCATAACCCTGAGAGTGCAGGGAGAGGTGGAAGAAGAAGGAGGGGGGGGGGGAGACCGCAAACACATAATTGACCAGAAAAACGATTAAGTCATCATCTGAAGCGTCTGGCTCGGAGGGGGGGAGGAGGGGGGGGCTCAAACATGTACTTAACCCGGTTCACCAATTACACCCCCGATTCTCCTCCCTCTCTGTGCGCACCTCTCGGGCAGAAAGAAAAGAGAAGAAAAAAGAAAAAAGAAAAGAGCACACAAATGAAGAAAGAGAGGGAGAGACGGAGACGATAAGGCTGTGGCTATCTGATCCGCGCCGCTCCGCTGGATTCAATAGGGCCAGCTAAACCTATTAAGAGCCTCGGCTGGTCCCAGCTCGTTTTCCGTCTGGCCTCAGCAGTGAAAACACACTGTCTAAACATTTAAACCTCTAGATAAGGACCTCGCGGGGGGGGGGGGGGCCTCAGCTCGCTCGCCCCCTAAAACGCCCCACCGCAACGCCCTGACGTACAAATGACACCTTCACGTCTTTTCCTCAGTGATTCCCAGAAGTCACATCTCATCAATTCCCGCAATCGAGCCTGTGAAACCTTGATACCCTCAACCCTCACCCCCACACCCTCCATCCACACACACACACACACACACACAGAGGCCTCCACTCCTCCCTCCCCTCCTGCTCTTTTTGTGGCGCTGGAAGAATGGGGGGACAAAACGCTACTAAACGCTGAGCGGACTGCTCGCTGGGGAGGCAGAGCGGTTTTGACATGGAGATTAGGCTCTGGCTATTGTTCGACAACACAAACACGCACAAACGCGCACGCTCCCCGCAATCTGGGATGTAAAGTAAAACACAGCGCGCAGAGCACATGACGACGGGTCGGCCATCAAGGTAGTGCCGGACCAAGGGTGGGACGGGGGGCTGAGAGGAGAGGACGGGGGTGGGGGGGGGGGGCTTGCCCTTCTGGAATGATCAGCAGATGACATAATGGTGGAATGGAAAAGAATAAGTCCGCTGACATTGTTTGGTTGGGGTCTGGGAGGGTGTATGTGTGTGTGGGGGGGGAGAGGGCGGGGGGGGGGGGGGGGGGTCCTGGAGTGCAGGGTAGGCATAAATTGGAAAATGAGGGAGGGGGGTGCAGGTCAGCGCCGTTGGACAATGGGGTTGCGCTGGCAGGGGTGTGGGTGTGGGGGGGGGGCAGAAGGTTGGAACGTGAGCAGTCAGCAAGCTGGGGTCGTGACATCGCAGTGTCAAACAAACAAACTACTGACACTTACAAATACGTCGGCTGCACGCGGCTTCTCTTAAACACGCAGAATGTAGCAGACAGCCGGAGTGTGACGGGGCGAAAAAACAACAACACACTATTTCCTGTGTAATAAACCTTTTGCTTTTGTGTATGATTGCAACATGAAGTCCCATCGGGTGCGAATCTGAGCCATCTGGCGAAGCGGCGTCGGCCTACGTCCCGCATGTGTGCATACATGCATCCGAGCGCGCGCCGCACTGAGCTGCAACATGCTGAGATTAAAGTCAGGGGAAGAGTCGCCATCGCTCATACGGGAGACCGCTGGTGTCACGGCAGCGGAGTGACGGATGGATTTGTCACTTTATTACACGGACAGCTCGGTGAGAAGATGTATTAGGTCCCGCACGGCCGAACCTCAACCGCTGCTCATTTTTCCGCACGGAGCATTCGAAAGGCACCGTGTTTACCGTGCATACAGGTAAATGTACTAAATTACATTGCATCTGCAGCAGCTGCCCCCAACTCACTCACTGGCTCGATTTCGGCAAGTGCCCCCCTGCAGCTTCCAGCAGTCTTGGCTCATTAAGTTGCTGGTGGGGGGACAGAGGCCCCCCGATAGCGGCTAAAGACGAGTGTGTTCGGTGTATGAGAAGGGAATTGGTTCAAAGGAGCACATCACTGCAGCTCCTTAATCAGAGCTGGCAGGGGTCAGCCAGCACAGACATGAGATGCAGCCTGAAAGAAATGTGTGTGTGAGCACATACGTGTGTGTGTGTGTGTGTGAGCGCCTGGCTGAGAGGCAGATGAGAGAGAGACAGCGAGAGTGTGTTTCTCACACTCACACTCAAGAGCCTGTGAAAGGTCAGCGCTTAGTGCTAACAGCACAAGATAGAAAGGGGTGCGCACGCACACACACACACACACACACACACACACGCAGGCGCGCTGCTCATGCGAAGGTGCACACTTGAGTCCAGAATAGGAAAACACTCACAGGCACCGTTGGTTAAAATATATTAGTTGCCTGCCAAAAGCAGTTTCGCCGTTTTGACAGTCAGCCCCAAACTTCTGCAAACACACGCCAGCTAAATTATTAATGTGAGGTCATTTTGATTCGGGATGCAAATGTTTTCCAGAAAAAAGAATTGGATGAAAACGTATTGAAGCGTGTTTCTCTGACAGAGCAGCGGCGGAGCAGAAAGCATACGGATGACCTCAGAGGGCAAAGCTACATCCAGAACAACCAGAGAGGAGAGCAGAAAGACAGAGAAGCCTGAACAGGCCTCTCGCTCTCCCTCTCTCCCCCTCTCTCTCTCTCTCCCTCTCTCTCGTAAGCCCCTTCACAGTCATGAGGGCTTTCCAACGTTTCCTGTTTTCGCAGGGGTGAATTGTGGGAGATAATCTCCGGCTGCCTATTGGCTGACTGCACACAAAAAGCGGCCCTGGAAAGCGGGCTTTTGTTACTGCCGTGACTCAAATCCAGCGGCTGGCTTTTCTTTCTCCCCGCCGAGGCACACATATACTATGCCACACCATCAGCGAAAAAAAAGAAAAGAGAAGGAATGAGATATAGAAAAGGGAAAACTCTCCTGGCCGCCGCTACTACACAGCACACGACTGGCCCAGATACTAAAGTTTGTCGCCAAAAGAGAAATAGAGAGATAGATTAAGATTGAGTCTATTTCTTCAATACATGAAGGTTCAAACAACATATAATTAATATACAATCAACACACTGTATCTCCTTACAAAGGTTTGCTTATTTTATCACTTGACTGAATATTTTAATATCGAATCCGTGCATTAATCTGTTATAATTAATCAAACCCAGAGGGATGATACGGGCTGTCATTCACGGCACTAACAATGGTGTTTCGACAAATGTTGTCAAAACATTCTATAGACACCAAAAGTCAAAAGAAGTCACAACAGTCTTAAAGAAGCCTAATCAAGGGGAACAACAGCTACAGTGTCCCCCAGTTATTAGGGCAACCCACGTCCCACATTCATCAGATTCTTGACAGTCAAGACCTGATTAGCCTGTAAGACTTTTGTCTGAGGACAGCCACTCGCTAAGAGGCCGCCGTGGCTGCATCTAATTAGACAGGCGTCTCATTCCCATACATGTCTGTTAACTTATAGCTTGAGTCCATTGTCCTCTGCTGAAAACAAAAACAAACTAATGGGCCTCATAATCCCCTTAACTTACTTGACCTTGTTTGAGCATCTGATGAGGCCACCAAGAAGAGGCTCGGCAGTGATTAGTCCATTGAAAGTGATGAAAGCAAGTGTTCTTATATCTGAAATAGCAATTATTGCCAAATTGTCACGTCAGCCTCCTTTTCAACCCACCAACCAATCGCGTGATGAGGGAGAAATCATGTGACCCATGAGTTGGCGATTGGCGTCGAAAGCGTTGAAGAGGGGGCAGCTGGGAAAAAGGGGGAACTTTTATCTTCCGATTTGAATAAGCTGGCCTGGATATGTCAAAGTGTTTACCCCTCCATATGGTCCGAGAGGGGCGCACACACACAAAACAACAACTCAAACAAACCCGGTCGCCTACACCACAACGGCCATTGTGTTGTTGTTGTTTTTTACTGCAGCTTACTTATTGTGCTCTGCTACGTTCATCCTCGCTACGTTTCCTAAACGGACTCGTTCTACCCTTCCTCCATCCAACCAAGCTCCCTACACCTGCTCAGATAACCACTCCTCCATCTCTAGGCTGCATCCTCTTCTCTGCCCTCTCCACCCCTCTGTTACTCATCTCGCTAAAACTCTCTCCAGCTCCCTTATGTAAAACCATTTCCTCTTCCTTTATCTTTTGCATGAAATCATACTTTAGTGAGAGAAAGAGCCTTGTTCCAGACAAGCATACGCTGTTCGAGGAAACTGTATCTGCCGCATCACAATAAATAAATGAAACATCTCCTATTAAAGCAGGTGCATTGAGAAAAGTACAGAAAACTAGAGCAGCGAGTATCACCCATCCTTACACTTGTTATACGTGTCGAAAGGACTCGCCGTCTCAATTCGGTTGAGATACAGATGAGTTTACAAGCAGCTGAACAGAGGCAGTAATGTGTACCAAAAGGAAAGAGGAAGATAATGGCAAAGGTCTGAGAACAAAAGAGAAATGTTTTGACGTACCTTGACATCAGAGAAGAACATCTTGAGCATATTGGAGCTCGGGTAGCGGGTGTAGAAAAACATTAGCTTGGCCTTCTTCAGATGATTGGGGGAGAGACCTTCTTGGATCTGAAAATTGCTTCCATTAAGGTCATTGACAATTGTTTGGAAAGGAACAACAAATGGAAAATGAAGCAAAGGCAACGATGCTAGCGCAAACACAACATCTACGTGCTAATAATGGGCTGTAAGAGCGGCAAGACGTCATCATTTGGGTGATGGGTAACCAAATTTCCTGTCAGGCATGAACACTGGGCTGCTAGAGGGAGGGGGGTTGGGGGGGGGCTGAAGACGGTGCACCAAAGCAAAACCATTTGCTTGTAATTAGCATCGTCCGTATCAGGTGTGAGAGCGTCACGGTAAATAAAGCGCCGGCCAGCACTACAGCCGATGCTTTTACATAAGGGGGCTCATTTCACAGTCAAAGCGAGCGAACGCCTTTGCCTACACCCTGCGCTGACCTCCACCCAAAAAAAAAAAAAAAAAAAGGAAGAAGAAAAAAGGAGACATTTGCATATCACAGACAAAGACAGCAGTTAACGCCAGTGACGGGCAAGAAAGCCTAATGGCTTGGCGACAACTCATGCCAAGCCTGAACATGACTGTTTGATATTGGCTTCATATCACTGACAAAACAAGGTCCATAAGATGGTGCCCAACACCGGCCAAGGCAACATGAAACACCCCCTCGCACTCACACAGGCCATATTAAAATACGTGTCAGAGGCCTCGTCTTCCTAATGGATGGCCTGGATGGAACAGCAGAGATGATGGAGACGGGGCTGGTGGGGGCACCTTGAGGGGATAGTATGGTTCCAACCTTCAATTACATCCCCCTCCTCCTCCCTCTGCTCCACCCCTGCCCCCCAGCCTTGCTGCCGCTGCCAAACCCTTGGAGGAGCAATAGAAGGAGGAAGAGAAGGAGAAGAGGGGCTCTGAGGCTTTGGACAGCCAGTGATGGCAGGAGGGGGCGGGCGGGGGGGGCTGAAACACATCTGCGCCACCGAACGGCCCAAGCCATTTCCATGGTGAATTAACGGCCGTATAATGCATCTGATAATATCAATCTGGAGGAGAAGACATTGAAAAGGCAGCGGGGATGGGGGCGGGCTGCATGCTAAAACCTCCGGCTGTCTCAACAAGGGTTTTCATCAAGCAAAAGCAAGACAGGCCTTCAAATTCACACAAAAGACACAGTCCCAAGTTTTCACGAAGACTGTTTCCACGCCAGTGGACAAAATACATCGCTTGACATTGTTTACGATCTTCAGGGGTGGCTGTGATCGTTAAAACCAGTCAAGTGTCCAGATGTAGCTGTAACTATAAGAAGGCATCAGCTGCTAGATTGGATTGCCCTTGGCCTCAGGGTTGCACGGCGAAGCCAGCAAATACTGAGCCACACTGGGTTTGGCTCCTTGAAAAGCCCGTCTACTTTGTCTGATTCAGCGAGAGGGAGGGAAAGAGAGAGAGAGAGAGAGACTCGGTCGTATACGCAGCGAGGGTCTTGTGGGGGAAACCCTGGCAGGCTGGTGCTGCTCTGTCGGGCCTGGCCAAAAGAGCAGCACTTCACTCTCCACACCACACCATCTGCTCCAAGTGGAGGGGATACAATGGATCCTCAGACAGACAGAGCGAGAGCCCTTTTCTCGGTAAGGCAAGGTGGGATTTGTTTACTGTGAACGCTGCGCACTTACACTTGCATTCATTTGTTTCTGCTTTTTCAATTAGGATAAGCGTCGCTGTCCCCTTATCACTGAAATTAAAAATGATTTTAAAACAAAGACGTCAAGGCTTTAACTCCCCGGCCATAAACACAATATCACCTCCCTTCAGACGACAATTAAGAAGGTTCACATTTCCCGACGAGGGTTTTTCATTTCTAATTCACTCACAGCTTGCAAATGTAATTGTGATTGGACTTAGGGGTGGCTTACAAGGCTATTATTTTGTCATGATGGTGCACTCATACCAGGTGGCCCACTGTTTGCCTGCCACATCTGACAAGACATCATCATTCTCACAACACATCCCCAAAACCCAAAGTCATGAGAGGAAATTAGCTGCTCCACTTCCTAATTCCAGGTGTAAGGACAAGTGTATTTGGAGTCGGACTGAGAACAAATGAGGAAATTGATAGCAGCCATCTGCTCCACACCGTCGCAGAGAGCTGGTGAACTTGAACACACCTCGCAAAATGTCTGACAAGCTGTCTTTGGCTCCCGAGGCTCCGAAAAAAGAGAAAGCTACAGAATTATAAAAAAAATTCTACATCAGTGGCACATGCTATCAACCGACAGAGCAGAAATGCAAATAAAATGTCAAACTAATTATAATAAAAAAAAATGTAGAAAGCTCTATTGTGTAAGTGCCAAACTTTGTTCCTAAAGCTATGTTAAAAATAAAAGAATAAAATAAATAAAAATAAATAAAAGAATAATTTTGTTGTGCCTATTATTTTTGATTAGGGCACGACATCTCTTTAAACCCTGCATTTATAAATGCTACAGTGAAAGCCACAGCATCTGGCATGTGTGGTTATTGTTTGATTGTTTTCTACTTTCTCTCGGTCTCTGCATGTCTCTCTCTCCCTTTTCTCTTTTCATCCTTCCATCGGGAGCCCGTAGAAGCAAAGGATTATGGATCTCTGGAAAGCGTTCACCCTTGGGTCAGAAGACAAGACAAGGCGAGGTAATGAAAGATAAACAGCTCGCTGCAAACACCTGTTAACGTCTGCTTCAAAGAAAAGACAGGGAGGCGAGGGGGGGGAGGGAAAACAAAAAAAGAAGTATTTGGCTGCCAAGCAACAGCCGAAAGGCCCCCCGGGCTGTTGACAGATCTTTATGAAATGAAAAAAAGGGAAAAGAAACGACAATGATTGTGGGCTTTTTACAACAGCGATGGATGATAAGAGCAACACAAGAGAAAACACAAGCAATCATAAATATACATCTTTCCAGAGTCCTCGGGCAAACCTTTTGTGACACACACACACACAAAAAGACACGCACACACAAACACACTCGGAGGAAGGGTAGGTAGGTACTCAGGTATTCCCAATAGAAAAAACAAGGCATTCAAAGTGCTAAATATGCATATTCACTTAACTAATAATGCCACAACAGGTAAAATCTTATGGACTAATTTCTCAAGCATGTTATGAATGTTAATGACTAGAAGACAAGGACAACCAGCATGACACGGATCCAACTTTCCTTAGAGTGAAGAGGTGTGGAACGCTTAGGAACTAAGGAGGTATAGGAGAGAAGGGACTGAATGTATCTGTTTAAGCTATTTGTCCTGATTCCTTGGGGGATCCAATTCGAGCCTCCCATAGGGGAAAGCTTCTTTATCCGGAGGGCATGATTGGGGCACACTGGGGTTAAACTATAAGGGAGGCTATACAACACCATTGTGTGCCAAGTTTCAGGACGCTATCGCCCTGCTTGTTCTTTCAGGCCATTTTTATAAAAAGGAATTGGAGCAGTAAATGTCTTGGGGACCTAATCTTCGTGAGTAAGTGATATGTGACAAGAGAGCTTTTAAAGCACTTAGGACTGGCGAAGGAAGAAAAGGCTGTACGGTGCTGTGAGAAGGAAGAGGTAAGAGTATAAAAATAAATACAATGCAGTACAATGGAGAGGACAACAGCAGTGGGAGGAAAAGTGATTCATCAACATTTTTTCGGTTTCTTGGGCTACTTTCAAAAAGGCTGAAAAAGATTTGATTTTTTAACTCTTTGTTGTTCAGATGCAACGTTTCAAACCTGTCTCTACAGGGAATCACCACCTGAAACCGTTTTATCTGGTTTACACACACATGAGCTCTTTGAAACATCAGGGTCACTGTCAAACACATGCACATATTATTGTCTTTAAACCCAGGACAAAATACGCAATTTGTTTTTAAAGGATACATTGCTGCCTGAGTAGGGTGAGATGTCCGCCATGTCCTGGAGGTCGCTGCACTCCGACTTGATGAGGGACAGGGAGAGCTCGGCCGTGCTGCCGTGGTGCGCTGGTGAACAAGAGCGATGGTGGTGGCCCAGATGGTGAGCAGATGCCATCTTGGTCCTCAGGCTGGTGGTCTCCCGGGACAGGTCCATGGAGTCTGGAGAAGAACGGTCCTTTCCCGGGTAGCCACCCGTGGGTCCACCGAGGTGACTCTGGAAAGGGTAGCCCATGAGAGGCAGCGGAAAAGGGTGTCTGAAAGATGGCGGGCTGAAGCCCATGGAGGCAGAGAGTGAGGAGGGGTGAAGGATAGGGTGGTGGTGCCCACCGTGGGCCCCCACGGCTGAGGACTGGTGGTGGTGGTGGTGCTCACTGGCTGTCTTCCTCACAACTAAGGGTATCGCCTCAGTTTGGTCGTTGGTGGGACCTGGCATCCCGGGCATGCTGGCAAAGGAGTCCAGTGGATTGGGAATGATGACATCGCCGAAGCACTGCAGCCTCTGGTTGGCGGTGTGGAAGTTGGGGTTCTCTCCATTGACAGTGGTGGGAAATCTCTCAGGTGGAATGGAAAGTGAGGGGAAGGCTTGCTGCGGTGTGGGGCGCGGAGGCTTGGCAAACACCTTAACCACTGTGTCCACCACCTGGGTCATAGCTGAATTGAGTTCCTGCTTAAGTGTTTCTGCCAGCTGTTTACCTTCAGCGTGCATGGAGGCTGGACCTCCCTGTCCTTTGCTCCGGCTGAGCCCCTCTCTCCTTGGCTTCTCTCTGTCTGTGAGCAAGGCCTGCTCCTGAAGTAAGGCCCGCGCCCTGTCCAGGAAATGGCCCGGGTCCAGGTCAGACATCTCATTGTCAGAGCGCAGGTCATCTCCGCCCCGGTCATCGCCGCCGGTGTCAGACCTACCCGGGCTGTCTTCAGACATGTTTCCTATGTCGTTGTTGAGCTCATTGTGGAGGTCGTTGTGTTCCGAGTCGTCGGTTGAGTCATAGATCTGAAAGAACTTCTCCTGCAGCTGACGCAGCTGTTTCTGCATGTCCTCCAGCTGCAGCTTCAGTTGCCGTCGCTCCTCCTGCTTCTGCTCCTTTCTCTGGCACACCAGCTGGGTGAAACTCTGTTGTTGCTGCTGAGGAAGACGCTGCTTACGCTTGTTCTCTCGGCTGCTACTGCTGCAAACTTCGCCTCCCCGTGGGCTGCTGGGGGCCTGCTGTTGAGACTGAGGTGGGGGGCAGTCCAGATCGATCTCCTGCTCTCCATCCATCTCATGGTCACGCTCATGACGGGAAGCAGCAGGTACCACCACACTGGGTGAGTGGCTCATACCACGTATAATGTTCTCTACACGGGCCCGCTTGGCACGCAGATGTTCATCGTTTAGACGTTCAATGTCAAAGGCGGCCAGGCCAGAACGACCAAAGGGTGACAAGCACTCTTGAGGGGTGCTATCATGGGAGGAGTTACTGCAGGCATCCTCCTGGGGAGCATCTGAACTCGCATTGGAGAGCCCTGATCCAGGGAAGCCGATGTCCCCTCTATCCCCCCTGTCCCCTCTTTCTCCCCTCTCAGGTCCTCCTCCATTTTTAGCCATGTTATTCTTGAGAAGCTGGGAGATAATGGTGGTGCCGGGGAACGGCATCATGGTGTCCTCGTACGAGTTGGCCCTCTTCAGTAGCTTTCGGAGTACATTGGACTTGGATTCGGTGTCGTTGGCTGACACGATGCCAGGTCCACCATGTGGCTGCACTAGAGAGCACTCCATGTTGTCAGTGTCTGATCCGTGGTGAGAGTGGGAGCTCAGAGAGTTCATGGCACTGAAAATGGCTGCTTTGGCGCGGGCAATGTTATCAGTGGTTGTTGCTGTTGTGGCTGCTGCTGTGGAGGAGGCTGTGCTGCCCACGGTCCTCTTAACACCAATGTCCACACGTCTTCGCTTGGTCTGTCTGTTCAGGAGGGAGTCGCTGTCATGGTCCGGCATCACGGGCTGCTGCTATTGGGCCATATCCCGCAAAACCTCTGGGATCAAATCCTCTGAGTACCTGTGGGTGAAAATTCACAGAACCATGACTCACCAAAGAGAAAAATACAATTGCAGAATCTAAGTCACTCAGTCAACCAGGCAGGACATGTCCATGTCAATATAATTAAAAACTGATGGACTGAAACAATTAAAATCTATCAACCTAGAGAGGTATTTCTCAGCGGAGGGGTACATGGTTACATTTAGGCAGTTAGGACCAGTGACAAGGGGTAAGAGGGAACAAGCAAGATGGGGTCAGATTTAGGCCTCGACTCGACATTCCAGGGCAAAGTCCTACATTTTATCCTGTCCCCTGTTACACGCCGTGCGGCACTGAACCAGTTCCCACGGAACACAAAGCTGCATAAAATTATGATAATTACTTAAGTACTTGTCCTCATTTCCATTTTTGTGTGGTGTGAGCAAACATAGGAGCTATTAATTGTCTAAATAAAATGTAAAAAAGAACACGTTAAAGAGCATTTAAAGAAAAAGAAAGAAAGAGTTGACAAGGAAAGGCAATGCACCTTCTCTAGATCCTGTTACGTAAGTGAACAATTATTCGGATAATTCAAAAAAGTATCGTCATTTTAAAACATGTTTGCACATTTTGTAATTTTAAACTGCAAGTCCCATGTTCACATTCATCAATACGTCCATCATATCTTCAGCAATGGAGAGGGTGACATTAAAAAAAAACCTAAATAGGCCTATTGATTTTTGAGCCAGCGTGAGCTCACTTCTGTGTTTTTTGTTTGTCTTTTCATCTGGCAAGGCCAGTTAATTCTGCTCGAATGAATAGGTCACAAGGGTCAACTCTGGCAAGGAGCAAGTTAAAGCGCTCTTACAAAAATCCTAATGCCCCTTTGAAAGCAAAACGTTTTGTCAGTACAGGCCTGCATCAATCCTGCCATGAAAGCAGCAATGGCATTGTTTTAGTCAGAGCAATGTCAGAAGCATTCACTCTCCAATTCAGTGATAATTTCAGAAATTAGTTAAACTATGACTTTGTTTGAAAAGAAAATATATATTCCTGAGGTTTGAAAATGTATGAATTTGAAAAATGTTTTGTTGCCAGCATACGTGGCAAAAGTGGTGCAAAACACATTTTTTAAGAAAAGCGTTTTACCTCAGCCCTAACTTATTTGTAAAACAATAACCAATTATAACAAATACAAAATGATTTACTTTACTCTAATTTTACAGATACTGCAAATACTGAAACGTCATTCAAATTTAAATAAAGTTAAAAATATATTTGCTATAAACTTTGAGATTATTATTATTTTACTCAGAAATGAAAAAAGACAAAACCAATTAATTACATCTGATTTCATTGACGCATATTTACGTAATCACTGCAGTTGAAAAAATAATTTGAAAATGAAGAAAAAACATTCACACACACACACACACACAACTTTGCTGCTGGTTTTGTGAGGCAGCAGAAGCAGCAGATATTTAACTAAAAAAGAACATCTTTGTAAACTGACAAGAGTAAATATCTTAATGTGTGTGATGTTTTCCCTCCTTATATCCGCACTATTGAAGGGAAACCAGTATTTTAAATTACAACCATTTTGATAAATGGCTTTGGCTCAAGTCCTGACAGTAACATCAGCAGTTCAGACAAGAGGTGATAACCCCCCCCAAAAAAAGAAAGAATATCTTGACTTGATCGCCTCAGGACCTTAACAATGAGCTTGAAATAGTCACCAGCACCTGTCTTTGCCGACGGCGCACCTGTCTCCCATTGCCCATGCGCACTCCCCCCCCCTCTCGCCTTCTCTCGTCCGAAACCTTTCAACAATTTGACGCCTATGAACTAGACACATAAACAACGAGCTGCCCATTTGAACCCTTAAACGTCGTCGCCTTATCCCCTTCAAACCGGTTCTTCGCGTGAAACCGTCATTTTAAAAAAAACAAAAAAAACAACCTCAAACTTCAACCTTCAAACATTTCGGTTGAAAGGAAATAAACAGCAGAAAACAGCGACTGAGCTCCGGGTTTGAAACTTGAATTCAAATTGATGCACAGTTGTTGTAACTTGTGTTTGGTTAACAACGGCGATTCCTCCGCGAGGCGATTAAAAGAGCAAATAGATCTGGATGTTTCTTCGCATTTGCGATGGTCAGTGTGGACAAACTACCAAAGGGACCGAGTGGCGTTCACTTACAACAAAACACCACAACGATACAAAAGCGCCAACGCACAAGACAGAAAACGGGAGGACTGACGCGCTGCGTAAAGGAACTTAAGGAGTAAATAATAACAGGCACGAAAGAGGTCCTAGAATAAAATACCCCCCACCGGACAAAGACACTACGCGGAAACTGCAAACCCACGGTTTCCAACACGCACCGGGGACCAAAACGCAGCCAAATCTCAGTTCCCGTCTGACATCGAGTTTCGAAACTCACTCCCAAACTTACTCCGAAAAGTTGCCAATCAACTGGACGTGCGCTTTGGTGCGGAAGGTTTGGGCTACTGTCCGCAAACCATCCTCGCAATAACGCGCAGGGCTCGCGCAACTCTCAGCAGACAGCAGGACGAGGAGGGGGGGGGGGGGGCGAAACAGAGCAAATGATGTCCTATACGCGGGATATGGTCACATTAGATGTTGACCAGCAAAACAAATGAGCCCCGTGCATTATATTTAATTCGTCAAAGGCGAGGCAGAGAGGGAGGCGTGCGAGGAAAAGGTCACTTACCCTTTAGATGAAGAGGGGACAACCTGAACTCCAACGGCACCCACAAAATGAAAATAAAAACAGCACGGCGGATTGTTGGATGCCGGGATATTGCAATTTCTCACTGAAGGTCGAGCCGCGATAAAGTCAGCGGCACGAGCGAATGGACCGAAACCGGAGAAGAAGAAAAAAAAATATATATATAGAAGATGAGAAAAGAGCTCTGGCGCGGCGGTCTCTCCCTCTATCCTCTGCTGTGGCTAAAAGAGCGAGAGACATAGAGCGAGTACAAGAGAGAGAGAGAGAGAGAGAGAGAGGGAGAGAGAGGGCGAGACTGCGTGTTGTGCGGGTCTCCGAGGCGCACTGGATGCGGAGGACTGGATGCTGGAGCGCTCCTCCGCCACTAAGATCCACTTTAAGACGCGGCTGAAGGAAACAGGAAGACGTGCGCGTCACGGGCGGCGTGATGTAACTGTCGCTGCCCACCAATAAGAAGCGTCCGTCCGGCCCGGAGAACAACGCGCTGAACTTGACCACTGAAATGGGACTTGGGCATGCAACTAAAGAGAGAGAGGGGGAGAGAGAGAGGAGGGAGAGAGAGAGAGGGGGAGAGGGGGAGAAAAAAGGAAATACCACTTTTGCTAATCCATTTCTTCACAAATCAGCGACTGCGCGAGTAAGAATCCGTTACGCACTTTGACACCAAAAGCCGCAATAAAACACATAGTCCACTTGTGGGTTTTTTAATTGCAATATTCAAGTCTTGAATGGGAGAGTTTCATACTAATGGTGAAGTCGGGTTGATTCTGAGAGATTTCGAATAACGCGTGAACACTTTTGGGGTAAAATGATATCTTATTTCAACCATTTCTCGATAATAACTGCTAATGAAATGCTCACATGTGATTGCGATCAGCTTTGTGCATTTATTTACTGTATTTTAGAATACAACATGTTTAAAAAAAAAGATGAATGCAGCATCGAGTGCACATTTTAGAGGAAATATATTCCTCTCGGCTGTACAATTCCAATTGAACATTTTAGAATTATTTTACATCTTCTATCTAAATGACTTTTAAGCGCTTGCGTTAATGTAAACCCTGCCACATTAATGCACGTTGTCTTCGTGAGAGTTTATTAAAAGGCATTAACATTCCTTCAAGCTCACTCATGTTTTATGATTACCAACTTGTAATTTGAGCGTTTAATATGTTGGAATTAACAGGAATTAAAGCGCGTTTGAATTTCAGACATCAGTGTGTACATTTTGCTCTGGACCTTTTTACCTTTAGGCTCCTCAAAGGGAATAACAGTAGTCAGTCACTCGGGAATAGGAGGATCAAAGTGGCGTGTAGATATTTTACGCGCATGAGTTTTTCCTCATTGGCTGCGGCAAAGTCTATAATGTATGAACAAGCGAAGCAGCTTTGCTTTGGAACTCAGATTATCCAGCACGAGCCAGAGCTACACGTCTTTGTGAAACGCTCATTTAAGAGGCGAATATCACCACGGAACGTATGTCCCTCGGATCCACAGCCGGTCACCGAAAACGACCCCGTGCGTAAAGACCGCACGCTCATCAAAACGTATCATCAGGTGGAACGGATCGTAAAATGAAAGCCACAAATAAATACCTTTATGTTTTAATTTGAGATTAGATTTTTTTGTTCTATCTTTGAAACTTTACCACCTGTAAGGCTGAAGCTTACGGACACTGACAACGGATCCTGTGCAAATAAAAAAACTGCTCGGCGCTTCTCATTTATGGAACGATGACAGCTACTCGTCCTTGTTCTCATGTATTCCTACTAATTTGATATTTATTTTTACTTTGCAGTTTTGCGTTCTGCAAATATATTTAGGCAAAGGTGTATTAACACAAATTGTTAGCGAACACATGTGCGCAATTAAGAATTGTATCTTTACGTAAGATAAGAAATATATGTCAATATGTCTCGATAATACATGTTCACATTCATCTGCTTCAGCCTGTGTTTCAGCAATTAGAGAGGAAAGTGTGAGCCTCGTATTAACCACATCCATAAGCCACTTACCCTTTTATTTTATAACAAACGCATACACATAATTACAATGTATACATATTTATGAATTCATGGATTTGTCATTATCATCGTTATAAATGGTGAATGCGTTTTTCAATTTGTGGAAGCCAGTAAAGAAAAAAGTTGTTCGTGCACTATTTGCTGGATAATTGTCCAGCTTTTCACTTAGGACTCATTTGTTGCACGCAGAATCTTTTTTTTTTTTTTTTTTATTCCTCCGCACAAACAGGATCCCAAAGCACGTAACTACAAATCTTATTTTCCATGTGAGCCTCAGTCAGGCGCCAAAAGGGAAAAGGCGAGTCTTTTTTTCCATGTCGCAAGCAAGAGCTTTTTAGGACGAACGAAACGCAACGAAGTCAGCAAAGTTGCGTGTCTGAAGTGCCTTTTCCAAAGCAGGTGTCCCCCACCCCCTCTCCCCTCTGCTCCCTCACCGGCCTGTGGCTGATTTGGCCTCGGCTCCCCCGGGTGCCGTCGGTGCGCACAGGCTGGAAAAACAGGCCGGACCATTAAAGAAGCGCGTGTTTGGAAAAGGAAGACTCGGGTGAGGTGTAGAGGAAACGTGTCGGTTAACACTGGCTGTTCTTATCGCGGCCCATTCCAGGTGGATCAACGCGTGTATTTATTTTAAACTCACTACCCCCCCGCCCCCCCTCACCCCCCTCTTTTGGGTCGAGTGCGATACACCTCGATGCCCAAGACTGATAATGCGCTCTGGCATTGCGCACTGATGGCTGAATTTATTGACATATTTATTAGAGTTGGGCCTTAATGCAGAAGTACCGGGCGTGTTTAAAAACAATGTTCCTCCCGGGGGGGGGGGGGGGGGGTTATGAAGGTACTTTAAAATAGAATCACGATCTGACCACAATTAAATGGTAACAAGTGCGCGCAAGTGGTGATGAAGTATCGACAGTGGCTATTTTTGGATCGACAACGGGTCAACTGACGATGAGTTAGTATTCTTAATGTTATTATTAGAGGAGGTATTCCTTTTGTTCTGACATGTGGAGGGAATTGCGTGACTAAAAATCAACAAACAAAAAAAAGCAATATCTTGAGCAGCAGCGTTTCTAAAAATTAAATTGGTCATATTGGACCTGATGTGTCCTGACAACCGCTCTATTTCTTTTCAGAGCCTTTTTGAGAAATAAGAGAGAGAGACATAAGAGAGACAGAGAGAGAGAGGGGAGAGAGAGAGGGAGAGGGAGAGGGAGAGAGAGAGAGCTATTTGCGAAAACAGAAGCAGAGAGATGGTAGCGCTAAAAGCTGTTTTGTTCCGGAGAGGTCTCCGGGTCCCTGAATAAAAAGGTTTAGGAGACAGGACAGGAGGAGAGGAGTGGAGAATTCGTCCGAGTGTAATAACTGAGTGGGCGTCTGACTCTTACAGCATCTAAAGTCCTCGTCGGGCCTCCTGTCCTGCGCTTATTCCGCTTTCACCGTCAAAGATGGAGGGAAATATGTAAACCACTTCTTTGTCAAGGCAAAACCCATTTCAGACCGGGTGACGCGATAGCAGAGACGTAGGTAGTAAAATAGCAGATATTTGCATAGATGTTATTATGAGTGATATTCTTTGCAAGGATTTTGGTGGCCGGCGCATTGTGGCCCCCGGTGACCCATATTCCTATTTCTAGGCTTCAAGTAGCCTAGTGGTGATTATGGATGCGCGTGTTTGTTTGCGTGTGTGTGACTGCGTGTGTGTGTGTGTGTGTGTGTGTGTGTGTGTGTGTGTGTGTGCGTGAGAGAGAAAAAAACAGAGAGAGAGGTTCTCTAAGGGCCGTACAAAATGAGCACACATAGCATTGCACGTAAAAGCAATGTTGCATGGCCTACACAAACATTTCTCCATGAGAATCCACATGGCCAACACGTTCTCCGTCGACCGTCCCTCCCTTTCACGCACACCACAGTCCCGTTTCCAGAGCCTCCTCTCAACACTTTGCTTAAACATTAAACAAGACTCCATGTCTGGCCTGCGTGGAAATAATAGGCAATTATAAGAATGCTGCTCGGAGAGGCTGATGGGAATGTGGCTGCATTTAAACTCATTAAAAGCAAAAAACGTAATTCGTTTTGACGTTTTCTTACTGCAGAAAAACGAAGCAGCGCATCGCGCACAACAAGTCTGCGCGGAGTCAACGCGTCTTACCAGCAACCTTGAAAGTGCGCCCATTTGAAGTAATGAAGGGCGCGCGGAACACGCCGTGAACACGCGTAACAAGCACGCGCACGGTGCGCCTTGGAGGGTGCAGACGGACATGTTGGGAAAATCGCCTGGAACTGTATTAAGCTTGACGTCCTTAAAACAAACAATGGCACCATGAAATAAGGGCTTATGCGCTCAAAGTCAAAGAGCCCCCTGAGCAACTATCCCTGTTTATCTCTCTCCCTCTGTCTGACACACACACACACACACACACACACACACACACACACACACACACACTCACCATTTCTTGGGGGTTACACAGTCAGGCTCGCAGCTCCATTGGAGGGGACCAACTTTGCTCCTATGAACTCTCACCTGTCAACATGGAGCAGAGGACTTTACTTGGTAAACACGAAAGGACTTTAGCTGTTTACTTCTGGCGGCGACTTCGCCTTTTTTTTTTTTTTTTAATTCACTGCAAGGCCGCGGTCACAGCTGGTCCTGTACTATCAGTGCGAGGTCAAGTCCACGCCAAACTCCGTTCGATAATCCGAACATTTTTAACGCAGGAGGTTATTGGCCGACGTACTTTTGGCTAAATGAGACTCGAATGCCTTTTGTGACCACGCGCGCTTCATCGGCTCAATCCGGCTGTTTGGTTTGACACGAGGCCCAACTTTTGTACCTTCACTGCTCGCCGCGTCACGCGGGCTGCAGGCCTCTGTCTGCGACTGCACGCTTTAAAATAATATAAAACGTGGGCTGTGCCAGATAAGCGGCGGTCTGTTTTCACTCTTCTGATCAGTGGTAATTATGTTTGTTGGCGTGGAGGTAAGTGGTCCTCCCCGGGGGGGTTGAGGGGGGGGGGGCACGTATTGTACTCGACTCACTCCATGTCATAATATAAAATTACAAGAAGAGGAGGAGGATATCCTACAATTAACAGAGGCGAGTCATTAAATCAAAGAGCAGCTATATTATATCTGAGGGAGAAAAACAAAAAAAAGCCTCACGGAAAATACATTAGGGGTATGACGGACGGACGGACGGGGGGGGGGGCAGGGGGCTTTAAATAAAACGCAGGTTAATGAGATTTTAATAGCTTCTACCACCACGGCTGGTTAAGAGCAACACACACACACACACACACACACACACACACACACACACACACACACACACACACACACACACACACACACACACAGCGTTTTGTAGCTGACTAAGGCTGACTAATTACTAATCATTCACCTGTTCTTCAGCCTTTCTGCACATAGTGAAATACTATAAAGAGAGGCGTGTGAAGTGGCATACGC